AAGTTAGTGGAGAGTCTTGAACCATCCCCCATCCCCCCAAAAAATACAAACAAAACAAACAACAACAACAACAACTCAAGTGCAAGAAAGTCGTACTGGGGACTAGAATCAGGGCCAACCACATAACAGCCTTGCATGACATCAACTGGGCTTATGGTGAACCCCTTGATGAGATGACAGAACAAAGCAGGTTACGTATTCTATCTATATTCATATATATACTAGCTGGGCCCCATTTCGATGAAAGGAATGATTGGTGCTTTAATATCAATTAAAAGTCATTGGCATACTATATTTACACTCTACTGGAATGGGGCAATAAATCTTGAGAGATGCAAAAAATTAAAGGTCTAGATCAATACTCTCAAAACAAAATGCGCCTCGCGAAATATCACTTCCGGATTTTCTAAAATTACAGAGACAGAAGTGTCGGCCTACAAAAGCGATCGGCGAAATAAACAAATTTAGTTTTTTGCAGCAAAGCTGTCTCAAAACTGAAAAAACCAAGGGCGTCATGCTATGGAGAATATTTTAAAGAATTTTTTGGCGAAAACCGCATGTCGATCGATGCAGCCATTAAAAAGCTTTTTGAATAGCAACATTCGGCCACCACAAATAGATAATAGATACACATGAAGCAGAAATTGTCCACAATAGTGACCCGTGGTTAAGGGAAAAGAATAGTTGTCTCAGAAGGGTGGCCATCTTGGACAGCTTCACTATGATGTGGAAAAAACATGAGGGGGGAAGTGAGAAGTGGTTATTTGTACAAGTAATTGTCTCAGACAGGTGGTCGTTACAGCAACGATGACTGGATAAACATTTCATGAAACTGAGACACCCTGAATTTCCCGGACACAATTGTTTGGAAGAGGAAGAAAGAAATTTACTTCTGGAAACACATATGATATATATAATAATAATAATAATAATAATATGATAATAGATTGCATTTCTATAGCGCTCTATCCCATACAAGTATAAGCTCTGAGCACTTTACACCAATCACATGATCATTCACACAAGAGAAAATATTTCACAGAAACAAAAAACCCCCAGCTCAACCAACTATATGACAAAGAGAAAGTTCTCGACTGAGAGCAGTGATACTTACTACACAAGTTGTAGATTCTGTAATGTCCCCCGTGCTTGGTGTTGAAGAATCGAGCAACTTCCTATCAGCAAAAGAAAATGAAAAAGTAAGTATTTCAACATGAAAAATAAAATGAAACAACTCTAGTTGAACATACAACTCTATTTCAACCCTGGAAGACATACACTGAAAAAACCCCCCCAACCTTTTCTTAACTGTTTACGACAAGAAGCATTATATCAGAAAAACTCTTCCGTCATCCGCACAAATCTGGTTCCAGACTACATTGAGCCGAGTGAGTGAAGCTAACAGTTAGTGAAATATGTCAAAACTGTACATGAATGAACACATAAAACTTCAAGTAACTTGATTAAGCCAAAGTCATAGCTGGGATTATTTAGTAATACCAAGACAATGACGCTATAAGGAACAGATGTCTGCTTGAGATTATCAAGGGAGCTACTCTATGAATGTTCTTCAAGAAAAACAGAGAATAACAGTCCCGTCTGGGTAGTATGCAGCCCTTGAAATCCAACTCGTAAGTAGGCCTATGTATTCACATTCTCATTTTATTTTTCTGGGTAAGTGCTTTACTGCGCTCCCAACTGCATACAGCATTGTGAGTGCGCGGGACACATTAAACATTTTCAGTTGGTAGGAAATTTTGAATTTTGCCTGGGTGGTGGCCGAAGCCTTTTGCCTGGGTGGTGCCGAAGCCTACTCTTATCAATCACTTTCTCAACTTTCTGCCCATTTCACTCACCGCAACAGGATTTCTGTATAGCGCCATCACTCCTTTGGAGGGGAAAGACATTGCGATCACTCTTTCTGTGGAGAACAGAAACCAAAGGGTAGAACGAAATGAGCTGCTAGGCAACATTGTTGCAACTGATCACATTCTGGCAAAACCAACCAGCAGGAATGGGGGGGAACAAGCCGCATATTTCAAAACAAAACATCACAACCCAAAGAATTGTTCAGCTCTGAACTGAAAAGCCAAGACAAAATTAACAAGCAGGATATCTATGCCATGCCATATTCAGAGACCAGTCAACTGTTACAAAGTTCACTAAAGATGTTGAGATTGTAGGCAAGACTACAGTTTGTGGAGTTACAGTTAACTGCGAGTCCGTACGATAAAGGACACAGTTTACCATGACAATTCAAAACGTTTAATGTTCCATTCAACACTGTAAGATTAATAACGAGACAGAATCTCTGAATTTAATGTTCGTTTCTGAGAGGACTCAGCCACATGGGTTGTCTTGAAAACTCCCCCAAAACAACCCGCGTTCAATGCCCATTTGGGGATTCAAACCAGGGCCATCTACTCCATTGTCCAGCATAATGCCACCTGAACTAACAGACCACTCCAGAACATCTAGAAGGTTGTTGTTTTTGTTGTTGTTTTCAAATCCCTTTAGCTGCGAGCATTTTGCTCTCCATCTAGAAGGTATAGACGTGCATACAGTGGGAGGTTCAAGTGAAATAAGTACAAATGGAACATGAAGGAAACCAATTTATTACCTGTGATATAGCAGAGGTCAAGGTCAAAACCGTCTTTTTGGTAGCGCCGTTTGTTCTGGGACACCATCTGTCTGGTTGCCTTGGCCACTTGCCGATGCTGCACAATCATGATGTAAACAATCCTCACCACTCGGATGATTCGGATTATTCTGCCAATAACCACCAGTCTGAAAAACACGAAACAAAGATTTGCTTAGTTTTATATCTATCTATGCATGTGGCGGAAATCTATACTGTATATCATCATCATCATTGCCTTTCTCACCCTGCACCAGGGTATAGGCCACGGACAAGCACCCTCCACTTTTCTCTATCCTGGGCTAGCCTCTTGATGTTATTCCATGTCTTCCCACTTTTCTGTACATCAATTTCTGTGATTCTTCTCCAGGTTCCACGAGGTCTTCCCCTTGATCTCTCTTTTGGCTTTGTCCGCTGTCCTTCATTGTTCCTGCTGATACAGAAGCTCCTCCATCTCCCAAGATCGAAAAATAGAAAGCTGTGTTTGTTCGTGTTTCTGTAACTTACTGTTTTTTACTGGGTTGGGTAGTTGGCCCTCCGCAAACTGGCACTTTTCGGCCGACCAGATCTATGCACTTTTAGTCGCCTCTTACGACACGCAGTACCACAGCAGGTGTATTCTTTGCTCCCCCATAGTAAAACTATGGGGCCCCCCACCAGCAGGGGTGATACTGTATGCTATATGATAAATAAAGACAACAGGTGATGCAAACTTTATAAACGTATCATATAACTCTAAAGGCTATGCAAACTTATAAACATATTTTAAAAAAATGATTAAACAACAATCCAAAAGCAATTTAAAGTTGGACCCAGTGTATGCATGAATTGGTAGGCGTCGGAGTGACATGATATTAAAAAAAACAGCTTCCTGTAAACCATACATATATATACATATATATATTGCTGGTATTTATGGACAACAAACAAATACTACACTTATGTTAACCAACAAATAACGAACAATCTGACACACACCAAAGATCTGACGCAATCTTTGTGCGGCAGCGTGGTGAAACCAGGCACTTGTCTAAATGATCAAATCAAAGAAACTGGTGTTTTTCAAGCCGTTCGGCAATTGCTTTCTAATTTTCTTCTCTTCTTTTTTGTTTTGTTTTTTTGGCTCAACACCTTTTACGTTCAGTCAAAAACCTATTTGTCTGTGAGTTTTACTGAAAGACATTGATTAAAGGCACAAAAAAGGTAAATTTTCAGATTCCAAGGACTCTCAGGCTATGGAAATGATCAAACTTTGGCAGCCATTTTCTCATAAATTTTCCCTCTGAAACCAGGCGTCCTTCATCTCTTTCAATGGCAAATATCTCGACATCCATTCAACATAGATTGATATTTTTTTTACCAAAAGCAAGGCAAATGAACAGCTTTTAAGATGAAATCAATGACTCCACCCAAAAATTTACGAGCGCCTGATTCCACCACGTCTTGCCACATTTTTTCCCACCATTAGCTGAAAGTGGAGGAAAGAACGACAACGTTCGTCTACTCACTGAGCGTATCTACTGCTCCCCGAACAGCCTGAGTCGGACAAGGCCATAAACACCACGTCCACGATGAACGAAATCATCACAACGAAAAAGTCCAACACGTCCAGCCAGTTGTAAAGAAAGCTTTTCCTGTAAATGAACAAGTTGTTCACAAAAGTTGTATACAAAAATTTAAGCGTTGTATTTGGATAACATACATGATGATGAAGGATATCAGGCACAGATTTCAGGTACATAATAGCACCACCCAAAAATGTATTATAATACAAAAAAAAGACAGAAATTTCCTACAATGTAAAATATAAGCACAAAAAGATCACAGAAATTTCTACAAAAAGTATATTTAGGGCCAAATGCAGTTTTCAAAAGTTAAAAAGACAAAAACTATTGTAGTGGAAATATTCAACTTTTCAGAAGTGAAAATCAGTCGGTTTTAATAAATACAAACATCAAGTTGACAACTCTTTAACTATAAAACTTACCCTTGATAAAATATTCGAGCCACAACTTCAACGACAAAATAACAAATGATGATGTGCGAGATGATTTCCAAAGGCTGGTCATTGGTTGCACAACTGTACAGTGAAAGATCTACGATGACGAGAATAAAGTCCAGAAGAATCAATATGACGGTGAAAGCTCGGAAGTAAAGGTTTTCGATGACTCGCTGTACAGCTCGCTGCACTCTCCTGGAAGGAAAAAAAAAAGAAAAGAAACGAATTAAAAAAAAAATATTGATAATTATAGTAATAATAATAATTGCAAAATAATTTTGGACCATATATCACCTGTTTCTAGCTGAGTACTCGTTACCACCAAGGAGAAGTAAGGAAAATTCAAGATTTTAAAAAAGTGCCTTCCCCATGGAAACACAGGTTAAGCCATATCTAGGCTGATGGGATTTGAACCCATGGCAATATGATTGAGAGTCCGTCTAACCACTAGACCACCGATGCCACTATCCTACGAAAATCTTATTAAAAAATCAAATTGAGAAATTACTTGGAAAAAGTCTTTTTATGAAACAAAAGCAACAAGCTGACTGTGGATTTTTCCAAGCCTATAAGAAAACCTAGACAGGTTATAAAAGTTCTACAGAATTATGGCTCACATTGCAGATAACAGTCTAAACAGAGCACCACAGGACAAGTTTAAAAAAATAAAAAATTCAATAGAGATGTGTGAGAAAAACAACAACAAAAGAAATGAAGAGTATGCAGCATCAAAGAATGTGGCAAAGACGATCATAAAAATCCTTCCAATAAATTTACAGTGGATTCCACTAAACCGAACACGGTTTATCCGAAAACAGCTTGTTAAATTGAACAAAAATATAATCCCACATTTTTTCTTCCTATGGAGCAGCTCCTTTCAATTTAAAACTGCTAAATCCCAAAAAATTTGGCGGTCCCGCAGATTTAAGTTTAAGCAGATTTCACCGTATTTGAGAAAAAAACGTACTCAAAGTCACTCTTTGGGGCAAACGGATCTCCTGCAGGGTCAGCAGCATACTCCACCCCCGACTTGTTCTCCAACTCGTAAAACGTAACTTTCCCCTCCTCCTTTTCACCAGCTTCTATCTGCGCGTCTGTGATTTCTGCAGCATCTGCAGTCGTGATGGAATTTCTAGGACTCCCTTTTTCGACATCGGAATTGCCAAACTTTTCGTAAGCTGCCATGTTGAGGCCACTGACAAGTGCGTCGAGGGTCGGCGTTGATGAATGATGCTCCGAGAAGCTGTGGCCTTTGTTCCTCAGCCAGCGTAATCTTCCATCAGCTGTAGGAAGAGAACATGAGGAAAATATCCAGGTATCATATAGGCTATCATATTGATTACAAGTACCGAAAGTTCAAATATTATAGAGGCCTATATACACACAGAATTGTCAGATATTCTGTCGGTGAACAGGTCCAGTTCTATATATAGGATGTCCGGTATAACTGGCCTCTCCAAACACCTTCAAACAGTCACACATGCCAATCTAGCACAGGAGACTTCTCTAGCATCACAGAAGAGAAGTTGTAGTCTTATATTATCACCACCACCCGTAACCACTAGTAGGTAGGGTCTATCTCCCCACAACGCACGACCGAAAGAAAAAAAAGCGAAGAGCAAAAGAGGCTGCAAATAGAAACATTGAAAAAAATCAACAACCCCAAAAGAACCCCTGAAACCAACAAGTCTCCAATACCTTACCACACACAGACAACTCAATGTTATAAGTTTGCAAGTGTTATCTTAGGATTTACCTTTGAAATAGACACATAAAGTGCTGAAACTACCCTCAGCTGTATCAGTATCACCGTCACAGTGATATCCGAAAAGGGGGAGGTGCCCGGCCAAAAAAAAAGTAAAAAGCTTCTACACGGACACACACAAAAAAACTCTAACGAGAACGTTGAAACGAGTCAACTTTAAAAATAGAAAAAGGGAATATTTTAGTCAGAAGAATAAACTGATTGACCAATTGTATCTAGGAAATATATTATAGGAGTATTTATCAAAGTGAATGAACAACACACAAAAAAAAGACCGAACTAACAAACTTTGAGATAAACAATTATTTTCGTCTATGATAACACAGTGACCTTGGTGAACTTTAACCTAAAAGGGCAAGTTTACTTTGTGTCGAAGGCAATGATTCGCCACTTATAGAAGAATTTAAAAAATAGCACTGGAAAAATACTATCAAACTATGTTAGCGGCGTAATCACTGAGTTTTATTTTTGGAAAGAGCAATTTCTATCCAGAATTCATCATTAAAAAATTTATCAACAAATATTGAGCTTTGGTCAATACCAAGAAGGAATATAAATGTTACCTTGGCCTTATTTTCACATTATTTTACGAATAATTTTTAGAACAATTGAAGTCTATCTATCCAGAATCTAGATTCTAGATCTAGAAATCTAGATCTAGATATATGCAAGTGGTTAGTGGTTAGCAGGTCAAATGCTTTTGTGCTGAAAAAAATATTTTTCTAGGTTATGGTGGGCAACATATATTTGGAGTGAAGATCAATCAAACACTTTTTGTGTTACTCTACAGCCTAAAAATATGATTCATTGATGCAGTGAACCAACTTCTATCTAAAACACGATGGGTTAAAATTAACTGACAGACCCCGAATTTTTCGTCTATCTGTAGAGGTCAATGTGTCCAATCAACAGCCACGTAGCATATCGGGAAATTTCAAGCAATTCAAAATGGCCGAAAAACATAGGTGAGACTGCTAGCTCTTCTACTAGCGAAACTCTTTTGCTTGGAACAGCAATACCTCTTTAATTTGTTGCTTTTTAATCTTTCGATGCGTGTGTTTGTTATCTAATTGTTCTGTTTTCAAGAGCTTTACCAAAATGTTTTATTTTCGGTGAATTAAGTGATCGAGTTCGGGCGGTACAGACTGCGACTGAATTCATGACATGAGTCACTCATGAGAGAGAGAGTAGAGAGAGAGAGAGAGAGAGAGAGAGAGAGAGAGAGAGAGAGAGAGAGAGAGAGAGAGAGAGTTGAACTTGAGTGCTTGATTCCACTTGAAGTTGTGAAGGGACTGTAGATCATGAAGAGCTGGGGTACCCAATCTGATCTGGAGTCTCCTAGTTTTAGATTAGTTGAGTCTGATAGAGAGGTCTGGAGATCTTGATATCTAGATCGGCACGGACAGTGAAAGTTGAATAGGCCTACCCTTTGACGCCTTTGTGGGCCTTGGTCTTGGGATTTTGAGGAAGCCAGTAAAGTTTGGCAATCTCTGGTTTTGGCCCCAATGCTTGCCAAAAGACTAGACCATGGAATTTAGAAGATCTTGATCTAGATATTAGATCTAGATCTAGATCTAGATCTAGTAACTTCATTCATAGGGGACAGGGTATTTTTCAATTTTGTGACTTTTTTAACTTTCTCTCAACTAGATCTAGATCTAGATGTATTTCTACCATAGGCTACCCATATATAGATCTAGGAGGCCATCTCCATTCGAACTCGAGTCTGATCAGATTTTTTATCTATAGATTCGTACTCAAGTCCGAAAATGGGTTTTAGTCTATTCGGACACGGGTCCGAAAAAAAAAAAAAGTTTTATTTATTCGGACTAGATCTAGGCTTGTAAGTGAGTTATGTGAGTATAAGAACGTTACATAATATAACTGTTGTCAGGGGATTTTACGTAAAACCAGAATTAGAACAAAAATGATCTACGTCTAGTAGACTGTAATTGTATCAAAGGCAGGTCAAAAGACTGCACTCTCATTGCGAAGGAAATAGCAGTATCCACGTACAGAAACAACTGCTTCCACCCTTAGCCCCCACCTATCGGTGTAACAAGCACAGCCAACCAATGCCACCCTTCACTGCCATGTAACAATGATTTCAGGAATTTTTTTCACGGCTGGCCGTACGGTTAGGGCGTCAGGCATTGGACAAACTAATTTCTGGCCTCTGGCTACCCAGGAACGTTTCTGTGGTGGCTGGCTACTCTAGCACTCTCTCGGGCAGTAGTGAAGTTTCACACCCACACTACCATGACCATCTGCATCACTCAGGGCTCACATGATGGGGTAACATCTACCCCCAAATTGCACCCCTACCCCCCTTCCTCGTCCGGCAGCATGGCATTAAGTTTAGAGCTGGTGGATCAAAACTTGCAAATTTTTTTTCTAATCGGGGATGAACTGGCAAAACATTTTCCGTCTTAAACAGGTTATTAAAGAGGAATTTATCAAGGGGGGAGCGGGGATATTCTGTTAAGAAAGGCTTACGTTTTACACAGGTTTCTGTTAAGGCAGGTTCGACTGTACTCTGATACAGTCATTAGTCGCATCTCTTGGATCTTTTTCCAATCAAAGTCAAAGAACCCTGATTGGATTTGCGTTATAATATAAAATCAGACTTTTTGCTTGAATTCAGTTTCTGTCAGGCTGTGTACAACCTCTTGTACATGACATTACTGGCATGAAAATACACATATATTTTATAAATATATTTTGTGTCTGTGTGCAATATTTGCCCGTCTTAGAAAATTACATGAAAATACACATTTTTGTTCGCACTAATTTTTGCGAGTATTTCAGTGCATGTTATTTGCCATGCTTGTTTGGTTGGTTACATAATCTTGATCTGTGAGGGTTCTTGAAGCTGATTTTTTGTTTTGTTGCAAACACTGAGGAAAACCTACAATTTTGGTGATGGAGAAGTCGGCAGGTTTGCTTCCCACAGTTTTTGTTTTTCTGGATTACGCTGTCAAATGTTTCTAAATATTTTCATTTTTCCATGTTTCAGAATGTCGTCTGACAATGAATACGAAATGTCTCTCAACGCAAAAATTAAGGAATTGTCCAGCGATTACAGTGACCAAAAGCTGCAGCTGTTACTCAAAGAGCACGGGTTTGGCCATCTCCCGTTCTCTGAAGCCACCAAAAATCTCCTGGTGAAGAAGCTTGCGAGGAAAATGTTGGGCCCAGACCCAGCGCAAGAAGACAGTGCTGGTAAGTTGTATGTTAATTAGTTGTATGTTAATTAGTTGTATGTTAATTAGTTGTATGTTAATTAGTTTTAAATATTTCCTTTCTCATTGGGGAAAGCAAAGATACACAAGTTTGCATTAAAATTAGTGATTTTTTGTTCTGTGTAGTATGTTCTTTACAGATAATAGTCATTATAAAGATGCATTACTTTAGTTATGTTAGTTTACTTGTCATGGACAAGAGTATTTACTGAGTATGACAATGTGATTTGTGTTATTTTCAGACATGATTATTTTGGTATGGTAGCCAGTGCCTGTAAATTTAGTTCTGCCTTTCTCATATAATATATGGTTGGGATATTTTAAAATGAAAATGAACCTCACCTTAAGCGAAAATTCTTGAAATCTTTATGGTAAGGGGAAGCCATGAACTCTTGGTAGTATTACATTTTTTTTGTTCTGACTGAATAAGTGAATATGTGTTCCTATGTCATATATTTACAGTCAAGCCTGCTCTAACAGTCACCTGTCCAAGACAATGACCAGTACAAAAAGCAACTTCCCACTCCCCCCCCTCCCCCCTTGTATTTAAAAAAAAAATTATTATTATTTATTACATTATTCTAGACATCCACCTATCTAAGACAACGACCTTTCTCCGTGACAACGGATGGTCGTCAGAGACAATTTTCACTGTAGCCCACCTAGCCTTAGAAAGATAACTCATACTGACATACGCAGATGGTTTTGTCACAAATAAAAGTTTACTCCAGGTATTATGTGCATATATATATAATATATATATATATATATATAAAAATATAGAGTTTTCATTTGCAATTTAAACTGTCTCTTGTTTCAGAGAATGTTTCCAGCCCATCCAACCTGTCGCCTCAAAGCAAGACCTCAGAGAGCAGGAAAAGCGACAGTTCAGGACCCACGGATGGTTGTACCGCCGCGGACTCAAACCCAAACAAAACACACTACGCTGTCTGCATTCCTGGACTAGGTGGGTGACTTTGTAAATGTTCCTGGTCCTTTGTACCAGAGACATCAGATGTCATGTACTTTAAACTTTAAACGATTTCTGTTTGTTTGAGATAATTTTTTGTTTCCCAGCTTTTCCCAGCTTTTTTGTTTTTTTCTTGACGAGAATTTTTTTTCATGCTTTAAAAAAGAAGTTGCCATATAAAATCCCTTGGTTCCACTTATATCAAGTATATTTCTTAACGCAGATAGTGAAAATAAAAGGGAAGCAACAGAAATGTGGACTCTTAGAAGACTTTTAAGAATTTCATGGACAGAAAAGAAGTCAAACGAGGAATTACTTAAAGAATCCCACTGATTTGAAGAATTGGGAAGCAACAAATGCATTGTCTAGGACATTTGACTGGACGTAAAGACTTTGAACATCTTGCTCTCACTGGGTAAAGTAGAAGGCAAACGAGGCTGGGATAGACCCAAAGAAAACTTATTCAGAAAACATAAACGGATGGGTGATGGGGAAACACACACCGGATTATGTAGAATTTTTTAGAGCATCCGAGCAGAGAAATGAATAGAGGGCTATGATCGTCGGTGTCTATTTCAGATCTGGCACGGTATGATGATGGTAATTCTTAATGCAGATTTTTTTGTGACTATGACAGTGCTCAGGAAGTTGTTGGCGGTCTCCCACTTAATTTTTTTGGAGCATTATTACGTTTTCAGAATGGTACTTTGATAATTCTCGTCATCACCTTTTTAGTTGAATTTGACTTATTTGTTTTATCATCTTGGTAAGTGAAACATCTTTTCTTCATTATTTTTACAGTGAACACCATCACAGTGGCCAGCGACTTCAAACAAGTCCTGAAGCTGATGAAAGAACACAAGTGTGACAACCCGCGCATGCTGTCCTTCCCAAACCTACAGGAAGCCACAGCGTTTTCTAAAAAGACCACAGCTGTCGAAGTTTGCAAAGGCGCCAACATCAAGTCGAGTTATCCAAATGTAAGTCGCTTGGTTTACTTATAGCCTGGAAGTTACTATTCCTATAAAAGCAAATGGTAGAAAAGGTTAGAGAGCAGGAAAGGAGGTGAAAGGAGAAAAGTTTAGAGAAGAACATTTTCTGTCGCAGTTAGTTTTCGAACCTGGGACTATTGATGAGGCAAACACTATAACCTCTAGACCATGAGAGCCCCCTTAGAACTTTGAAAGCTGCTTTGTATAGGAATAAGTTTATATTGCACAGGGTCATTAATTTGATTTCCAGTAGGAATTATTCAGCATCAGGCAATCAGGCAGTCTTACTTTATGACAAATTTTAGAAATGAGAAATGAACTACCAGTTTTTGCCTTATAATGTCTTTCGTCTTTTCTTGTCTTGAAGGAAAAAGCAGAAGTGGAGACAGGAGAAGTGAAGCTGTTCCCCTCCCTCACCCCTCCACAACTGAACAAGTTTCGGATTCACTTGGAGAAAGGCCTGCTGGATTACGCCAAGGAATGCATCGCAGTCAATCCACGGTACCTGATCGGCAACGGAGACATGCCAACAATACTGAAGGTACGGAATGGAAGAGGTTTACTTTTGTTTTCTGTGGTTACAACCATCCTCCCAATGGGAAACGGTCACTGATAACGACAATTGAAAAGAGATAAACGCACTTCCCAGGACTCTTGAATTGACATAGAGGCTTTGTACATTTTGCTCTCTCTGGGAAAATCTAAGTGGAAAGAGGGAGAAGTAGACTAAGGATCACTTCCTGGGAGAACTTAAATAGATGGAGGAAGTAGACTAAGGATCACTTACTTGGAGAACTTAAATAGATGGAGGAAGTAGACTAAGGATCACCTACTTGGAGAACTTAAATAGATGGATGAAGTAGACTAAGGATCACTTACTTGGAGAATTAAATAGATGGATGAAGTAGACTAAGGATCACCTACTTGGAGAACTTAAATAGATGGAGGAAGTAGACTAAAGATCACTTACTTGGAGAACTTAAATAGATGGATGAAGTAGACTAAGGATCACTTTCTGGGAGAACTTAAATAGATGGATGAAGTAGACTTAGGATCACTTACTTGGAGAATTAAATAGATGGATGAAGTAGACTAAGGATCACCTACTTAGAGAATTAAACAGATGGATGAAGAGAACATCAATATATGAGTGAAGAGAACACAAGTAGATATGTGAAGTGAACATAAATGAATGGGTGAAGGAAAAGTACCAGGACATGCCAGATACAGGGCAAAGATGTCATTACATTCACTGTCAACTTCACCATGGCTATCTAGAGATACAGTCTAGCATGCACACAGGAAACGCACACTTAGCAAACACGCATTTACTGAACTCGCACACTTACTGAACATTCTCATAGCAAACGCACACATTGCAAACACGCATTTACTGAACTCGCACACTTACTGAACATGCTCATTGCAAACACACACATAGCAAACAGGTTTTCAGGTCCTATATTTTTCCTCATACACGATGTATTATATTCTTTGTATTTAAAAGACGTACATAGCGAGATTGGTACCCAGCCAAAAAGATTTCCGCGCCACGTGGATTTCACTAAGTGTGCGTGCTAGACTGTGTACTCATGGAGAGGCAACCATTTTGTCTTTGAATACAGCTGGTTAGTTTACAGGACTCGTAATCGTGAAGTTGTGGGTTCGGGGGTTCGAGCCGTGGGCCCGACGTTGTGTCCTTGGGAAAGGCACTTAACACGAATTTTCCTCACTTCACCCAGGTAGGAATGGGTACCCGGCCATAGACAGCGAAAGATCTTGTCAGTATATTAGTGTTTTAGCACCTGTAAATGGCTGCTTGCTCTGTATGCTTCCCAGGAAGCTGAGATTGTTTCAGAGTGCTCTCAGGTCTGCTGGGGTAATAGTATAAATTGTGAAGTGCATAGAGCTTACTGTTGAGTGGAGATGTGCGCTATACAAATGCTATCTATTATTATTATTGTTATAACTATTATTACAGGAAGGACCACGGTACAATGCTCTGCACGCGTGTGTGGTGGCCAATCAGCTCGCTTCGTGCCAGCTGGTGATGGGGACAGTGAGTGACGCAGAGTACCTAAAGAGAATGTACGGCAGCTTGCCGCGGTCGCAGGAAATCTCACACAGGCTGGTGGACCTATACCTCAACACCCCGGA